GACCACCAGAGAATATCTGGTAAGTGGTGGTATTATATATGTGTTTTTCCTTGATGGATATATCCATGTGCAACCTACCCCCCTTTATTCAGTTAAACTAATATAATCTATACAGTCCACAATTAATTAGTAGCGCCGTACTTGTGGGTGCTATCCAATTCATACTGGTCTTGGATAGATATGGGTAAGCTTGTGAGGTCGAAGGAACCACCTGCAGTGACCAGGGCCGTGGTTAAGTTTTCTCAAATGTCTACACAGGGTGACTACGGTAAACAATATGGTTGTTGTCTCCCAATGAGATTACTTGTATGTATGTAATGTTGAGGTACATACAGGTAACCCCTATAAAATTGTCCATAACATACTTCCTCTCAATTTTTACACAGGAAGATACTAGCGATATTCCAGAAATAATAAATATTGTAAAACAGGACGATAATAAACTATGCACGATTAGGGTTACAAGTAACATGGTCCTTAGGCAAATACATAAATTAAAACCTAACAAATCCCCAGGCCCTGATGAACTGTATGCAAGGGTTCTAAAGGAATGTAAAGAGGAGCTTAGCAAACGTCTGGCTAATCTTTTCAACACATCACTTCAGACTGACATGGTGCCAGATAAGTGGAAAATGGCAAATGTGATACCTATTTTCAAAGCAGGTGACAGGTCCTTAGCTTCGAACTATAGACCAATAAGCCTAACCTCCATAGTGGGAAAATTTATGGAATCAATAATTGCCGAGGCAGTTCGTAGCCACCTTGAAAAGCATAAATTAATCAACGAATCTCAGCATGGTTTTACAAAGGGGCATTCCTGCCTTACGAATTTATTAACTCTTTTCACTAAGGTATTTGAGGAGGTAGATCATGGTAATGAATAAGATATTGTGTATATGGACTTCAGTAAGGCTTTTGACAGGGTCCCACATCAGAGACTGTTGAGGAAAATAAGGCACATGGAATAGGAGAATTTTTTTCCAGGATAGAGGCATGATTGACAAATAGGCAGCAGAGAGTTTGCATAAATGGGGAGAAATCAGAGTGGGGGAGAGTCACGAGCGGTGTTCCACAGGTGTCAGTGTTGGGCCCCCTGCTGTTCACAGTCTACATAAACGACATTGATGAGGGCATAAAGAGCGACATAAGCAAGCTTGCCGATAACACCAAAATAGGCCGTCGAATTCATTCTAATGAGGACATTAGAGCACTCCAGGAAGATTTGAATAGACTGATGCAGTGGTCGGAGAAGTGGCAGATGCAGTTTAATATAGACAAATGCAAAGTTCTAAATGTTGGACAGGAAAATAACCATGCCACATATAAACTAAATAATGTAGATCTTAATATTATGGATTGCGAGAAAGATTTAGGAGTTCTGGTTAGCAGTAATCTGAAACCATGACAACAGTGCGAAAGTGTTTGCAATAAAGCTAACAGAATTCTTGGCTTCATATCAAGAAGCATAAATAATAGGAGTCCTCAGGTTGTTCGTCAACTCTATATATCCTTGGTTAGGCCTCAATTAGATTATGTTGCACAGTTTTGGTCACTATATTACAGAATGGATATAAACGTTCTGGAAAACATACAAAGGAGGATGTCAAAGTTGATCCCATGTATCAGAAATCTTCCCTATGAGGATAGATTGACGGCCCTGAATCTGCACTCTCTAGAAAGGCGTAGAATTAGGGGAGATATGATTGAGGTGTATAAATGGAAGACAGGAATAAATAAAGGAGATGTAAATAACGTGCTGAAAATATCTAGCATAGACAGAACTCGTAGCAATAGTTTTAAGTAGGAAAAATTCAGATTCAGGAAGGATATAGGAAAGCACTGGTTTAATAATAGAGTTGTGGATGAGTGGAATAAACTCCCAAGTACAGTGATAGAGGCTAAAACGTTGTGTAGTCTTAAAAATAGGTTAGATAAATACATGAGTGGGTGTGGGTGGGTGTGAGTTGGACCTGACTAGCTTGTGCTACTAGGTCAAATGCTGTGTTTCTTCCTTAAGTGAATGTGACCTGACCTGACTATGTTGGAGCATTGGCTTGAGCCGTGGGAGATTTGGACCTGCCTCGTAGGGCGAAATGACAGTAGTTTGTTGGATTATGTATTGGTAGATAAAAGACTGTTGAGTAGACTTCAGGATGTACATGTTTATAGAGGGGCCACAGATATATCAGATCACTTTCTAGTTGTAGCTACACTGAGAGTAAAAGGTAGATGGGATACAAGGAGAACAAAAGTGTCAGGGAAGAGAGAGGTGAAGGTTTATAAGCTAAAAGAAGAGGCAGTTAGGGTAAGATATAAACAGCTATTGGAGGATTGATGGGCTAATGAGAGCATAGGCAATGGGGTCGAAGAGGTATGGGGTAGGTTTAAAAATGTAGTGTTAGAGTGTTCAGCAGAAGTTTGTGGTTACAGGAAAGTGGGTGTGGGAGGGAAGAGGAGCGATTGGTGGAATGATGTAAAGAGAGTAGTAAGGGAGAAAAAGTTAGCATATGAGAAGTTTTTACAAAGTAGAAGTGATGCAAGGAGGGAAGAGTATATGGAGAAAAAGAGTGAGGTTAAGAGAGTGGTGAAGCAATGTACAAAGAGAGCAAATGAGAGAGTGGGTGAGATGTTATCAACAAATTTTGATGAAAATAAGAAAGTTTTGGAGTGAGATTAACAAGTTAAGGAAGCCTAGAGAACAAATGGATTTGTCAGTTAAAAATAGGAGAGGAGAGTTATTAAGTGGAGAGTTAGAGGTATTGGGAAGATGGAGGGAATATTTTGAGGAATTGTTAAATGTTGATGAAGATAGGGAAGCTGTGATTTCGTGTATAGAGCAAGGAGGAATAACATCTTGTAGGAGTGAGGAAGAGCCAGTTGTGAGTGTGGGGGAAGTTCGTGAGGCAGTAGGTAAAATGAAAGGGGGTAAGGCAGCCGGGATTGATGGGATAAAGATAGAAATGTTAAAAGCAGGTGGGGATATAGTTTTGGAGTGGTTGGTGCAATTATTTAATAAATGTATGGAAGAGGGTAAGGTACCTAGGGATTGGCAGAGAGCATGCATAGTTCCTTTGTATAAAGGCAAAGGGGACAAAAGAGAGTGCAAAAATTTTATAGGGGTAAGTCTGTTGAGTATACCTGGTAAAGTGTATGGTAGAGTTATTATTGAAAGAATTAAGAGTAAGACGGAGAATAGGATAGCAGATGAACAAGGAGGCTTTAGGAAAGGTAGGGGGTGTGTGGACCAGGTGTTTACAGTGAAACATATAAGTGAACAGTATTTAGATAAGGCTAAAGAGGTCTTTGTGGCATTTATGGATTTGGAAAAGGCGTATGACAGGGTGGATAGGGGGGCAATGTGGCAGATGTTGCAGGTGTATGGTGTAGGAGGTAGGTTACTGAAAGCAGTGAAGAGTTTTTACGAGGATAGTGAGGCTCAAGTTAGAGTATGTAGGAAGGAGGGAAATTATTTCCCAGTAAAAGTAGGCCTTAGACAAGGATGTGTGATGTCACCGTGGTTGTTTAATATATTTATAGATGGGGTTGTAAGAGAAGTAAATGCGAGGGTCTTGGCAAGAGGTGTGGAGTTAAAAGATAAAGAATCACACACAAAGTGGGAGTTGTCACAGTTGCTCTTCGCTGATGACACTGTGCTCTTGGGAGATTCTGAAGAGAAGTTGCAGAGATTGGTGGATGAATTTGGTAGGGTGTGCAAAAGAAGAAAATTAAAAGTGAATACAGGAAAGAGTAAGGTTATGAGGATAAAAAGATTATGTGATGAAAGATTGGATATCAGACTGGAGGGAGAGAGTATGGAGGAGGTGAATGTATTCAGATATTTGGGAGTGGACGTGTCAGCGGATGGGTCTATGAAAGATGAGGTGAATCATAGAAATGATGAGGGGAAAAGGGTGAGTGGTGCACTTAGGAGTCTGCGGAGACAAAGAACTTTGTCCTTGGAGGCAAAGAGGGGAATGTATGAGAGTATAGTTTTACCAACGCTCTTACATGGGTGTGAAGCATGGGTGATGACTGTTGCAGTGAGGAGAAGGCTGGATGGAGGCAGTGGAGATGTCATGTCTGAGGGCAATGTGTGGTGTGAATATAATGCAGAGAATTCGTAGTTTGGAAGTTAGGAGGAGGTGCGGGATTTCCAAAACTGTTGTCCAGAGGGCTGAGGAAGGGTTGTTGAGGTGGTTCGGACATGTAGAGAGAATGGAGCGAAACAGAATGACTTCAAGAGTGTATCAGTCTGTATTGGAAGGAAGGCGGGGTAGGGGTCGGCCTAGGAAAGGTTGGAGGGAGGGGGTAAAGGAGGTTTTGTGTGCGAGGGGCTTGGACTTCCAGCAGGCATGCGTGAGCGTGTTTGATAGGAGTGAATGGAGACAAATGGTTTTTAATACTTGACGTGCTGTTGGAGTGTGAGCAAAGTAACATTTATGAAGGGGTTCAGGGAAACCGGCAGGCCGGACTTGAGTCCTGGAGATGGGAAGTACAGCGCCTGCACTCTGAAGGAGGGGTGTTAATGTTGCAGTTTAAAAACTGTAGTGTAAAGCACCCTTCTGGCAAGACAGTGATGGAGTGAATGATGGTGAAAGTTTTTCTTTTTCTGGCCACCCTGCCTTGGTGGGACTCGGCCAGTGTGATAATAAAAATAATAATATATACATACATATATATATATAATATATATATATATATATATATATATATATATATATATATATATATATATATATAATCTGTAAGTTGAAGTGTACACTATGTTTCTACGCAAAAACCCTGAAGTAGGATAACATGTCTTGGTTTGTGAATTCAAATGTGTACAAAAATGTGTCTGTATGTGTAGCTATGCATTATCTGTAGCAATAATTTTCCTAGATTTTCCACCATATCATCTGTACATTTATTAATATATTATTACTATGTGTCGCAACTTTACTGGTGTAGCAGTGTAATGTTTGTAAACGTAAAGAGACGAAATAACACAATATACTCACACCAAGAGCTGGAAGATCCACTGCCTCCTGTGGTAACTCTCCCTCTGTGGCTGGAAATCCCACCTTACCCGTTTATATAGCCCGCCCTACCTTGTAGAGTTCACTGAGATTTGTTTGCGTGGCTTGTTTTTCTACCATCTGCGTATCTCTGAGAAGACATACCCCATGGCAACAATGTTGCCCGAATAGTTAGCGAGGTTCAGATATATCACGATCTTTCAGTTGAAGTGATCAATTACTGTGTCATGTTTGTCACTGAGAGATGAGGGTTTTACCTGATGGTCATCTGTATCCTCTAGTGTCGAATTACTCAGACAGTTGGAACAAACATTAAACCCACGAGTATACTAACTAGGCAAGTGAAAACATATGAATAGTTGAGATATTCCTAGTAATATGTTATATAAGAAGCAATAGCAGAAAATAAAACTTAGAAGTGAGCAGAAAGAATATTTTATGTTTATCTGCAAATTCTTTGATTATATAGTTAGAGATTATTTAGTGATGTATGCAAATATACTTTGGTATATTATACTAAGATATTTTGGTGTTAAATTAACATATCAAAAGTTTGGAATAAGAAACTATCAACTCATTTTTGTCAAGAGATCATAATTTGTTGTTGTTCACATAGATTGTTTGACAATGTATGAACATACAGTTTGTTTATACAAATTTTGTTATGCATGTACTTTTATATGCTGTATGTACAGTTACTTAGCGATATATATACACGCATCTGGAGTATAAACAGACAATGTGATATATAAATGTGCATATATATCTGATATAGGCACAGGTATTTTCGTAATATATACTCGTATAGAAGAATATACCACAATAACGAGTCTTAAACATTTCACATGGCCATAAAATTAAAATAAAACGTACAGGACATTTCTGTCCTGTACGTTATTTCATTACAGAGAGAAGAAATGACAGCCAAAGTCTCGTCCAGTGAATCATAATCACCATTACATTAATAACATAATGCTAACAGTTTTAGAGTTTAATTGGTTCCTCTTGTCAGTCTTCATCAGTGTCTCTCAACAATATTTCTAAGATGTATAATGTTTATTGTGTTTATATGTTGTTTATGCTCCACATATTTTGAACGTCTCTGAGGATTTTTAATAAACTCTTAAGTGTGCATGAAAGCATTTTTACTTAACAGTTTTATTGCTAAAACAGTTGAAATGTCTGTGTAAGTAAATGAGGCTAACGTAGAGCATAAAAAAAGAACTTTTTCAAAACCCATAAAACTAAAGAAAATTACTATTACGTAAACGGTTACCTTATAGTTTTTATCTGTAAGTGTTGAACATTCACTGCAACTTGCTGGGAATATCATTATCAGTAAGTGTTGAACATTTACTGCAACTTGCTGGGAATATCATTATCAGTAAGTGTTGAACACTCACTGCAACTTGCTGGGAATATCATTATCAGTAAGTGTTGAACATTCACTGCAACTTGCTGAGAATATCATTATCAGTAAGTGTTGAACATTCACTGCAACTTGCTGAGAATATCATTATCAGTAAGTGTTGAACATTCACTGCAACTTGCTGAGAAATATCATTATCAGTAAGTGTTTGAACATTCACTGCAACTTGCTGGGAATATCATTATCTGTAAGTGTTGAACATTCACTGCAACTTGCTGGGAATATCATTATCTGTAAGTGTTGAACATTCACTGCAACTTGCTGAGAATATCATTATCAGTAAGTGTTGAACATTCACTGCAACTTGCTGAGAATATCATTATCTGTAAGTGTTGAACATTCACTGCAACTTGCTGAGAATATCATTATCAGTAAGTGTTGAACATTCACTGCAACTTGCTCGGAATATCATTATCAGTAAGTGTTGAACATTCACTGCAACTTGCTGAGAATATCATTATCAGTAAGTGTTGAACATTCACTGCAACTTGCTCGGAATATCATTATCAGTAAGTGTTGAACATTCACTGCAACTTGCTGAGAATATCATTATCAGTAAGTGTTGAACATTCACTGCAACTTGCTGAGAATATCATTATCAGTAAGTGTTGAACATTCACTGCAACTTGCTGGGAATATCATTATCTGTAAGTGTTGAACATTCACTGCAACTTGCTGAGAATATCATTATCAGTAAGTGTTGAACATTCACTGCAACTTGCTGAGAATATCATTATCAGTAAGTGTTGAACATTCACTGCAACTTGCTGAGAATATCATTATCAGTAAGTGTTGAACATTCACTGCAACTTGCTGAGAATATCATTATCAGTAAGTGTTGAACATTCACTGCAACTTGCTGAGAATATCATTATCAGTAAGTGTTGAACATTCACTGCAACTTGCTGGGAATATCATTATCTGTAAGTGTTGAACATTCACTGCAACTTGCTGGGAATATCATTATCTGTGAGTGTTGAACATTCACTGCAACTTGCTGGGAATATCATTATCTGTAAGTGTTGAACATTCACTGCAACTTGCTGAGAATATCATTATCAGTAAGTGTTGAACATTCACTGCAACTTGCTGAGAATATCATTATCTGTAAGTGTTGAACATTCACTGCAACTTGCTGAGAATATCATTATCAGTAAGTGTTGAACATTCACTGCAACTTGCTGAGAATATCATTATCAGTAAGTGTTGAACATTCACTGCAACTTGCTGGGAATATCATTATCTGTAAGTGTTGAACATTCACTGCAACTTGCTGGGAATATCATTAGTTTGAAATTCCAAAAGAGAAATTAAACATAATTAATTTCCTCTCTTAGCAATTTTTCATAACCTTCGTCTACTAGTAACTGTATATCCTAGAACACTGTATATCCTAGAACACTGTATATCCTAGAACACTGTATATCCTAGAACACTGAATATCCTAGAACACTGTATATCCTAGAACACTGTATATCCTAGAACACTGTATATCCTAGAACACTGTATATCCTAGAACACTGTATATCCTAGAACACTGAATATCCTAGAACACTGTATATTCTAGAACACTGTATATTCTAGAACACTGTATATTCTAGAACACTGTATATCCTAGAACACTGTATATCCTAGAACACTGTATATCCTAGAACACTGTATATCCTAGAACACTGTATATCCTAGAACACTGTATATCCTAGAACACTGTATATCCTAGAACACTGTATATTCTAGAACACTGTATATTCTAGAACACTGTATATCCTAGAACACTGTATATCCTAGAACACTAAATATCCTAGAGCACTGAATATCCTAGAACACTGAATATTCTAGAACACTGAATATTCTAGAACACTGAATATTCTAGAACACTGAATATTCTAGAACACTGTATATTCTAGAACATTGTACATCCTAGAACACTGTATATCCTAGAACACTGAATATCCTAGAACACTGAATATTCTAGAACACTATATTCTAGAACACTGTATATCCTAGAACACTGTATATCCTAGAACACTGAATATCCTAGAACACTGTATATTCTAGAACACTGTATATTCTAGAACATTGTATATCCTAGAACACTGTATATTCTAGAACACTGTATATCCTAGAACACTGTATATCCTAGAACACTGTATATTCTAGAACACTGTATATTCTAGAACACTGTAATTCTAGAAACACTGTATATTCTAGAACACTGTATATTCTAGAACACTGTATATTCTAGAACACTGTATAGCCTAGAACACTGTATATTCTAGAACACTGTATATTCTAGAACACTGTATATTCTAGAACACTGTATATTCTAGAACACTGTATATCCTAGAACACTGTATATTCTAGAACACTGTATATTCTAGAACACTGAATATCCTAGAACACTGTATATTCTAGAACACTGTATATCCTAGAACACTGAATATCATATAACACTGAATATCCTATAACACTGAATATCCTAGAACACTGAATATCCTAGAACACTGTATATTCTAGAACACTGTATATTCTAGAACATTGTTTGTCCTAGAACACTGTATATCCTAGAACACTGAATATCCTAGAACACTGAATATCCTAGAACACTGAATATCCTAGAACACTGTATATTCTAGAACATTGTTTGTCCTAGAACACTGTATATCCTAGAACACTGTATATTCTAGAACACTGTATTATCCTAGAACACTGAATATTCTAGAACACTGTATATTCTAGAACACTGTATATTCTAGAACACTGTATATTCTAGAAACATTGTTTGTCCTAGAACACTGTATATCCTAGAACACTGTATATCCTAGAACACTGAATATCCTAGAACACTGTATATTCTAGAACACTGGTTTATCCTAGAACACTGTATATTCTAGAACAATGTATATTCTAGAACACTGTATAGCCTAGAACACTGTATATAGCCTAGAACACTGTATATCTTAGAACACTATATATTCTAGAACACTGTATATTCTAGAACACTGTATATTCTAGAACATTGTATAGCCTAGAACACTGTATATCCTAGAACACTGTATATCCTAGAACACTGAATATCCTAGAACACTGTATATTCTAGAACACTGTATATTCTAGAACATTGTATAGCCTAGAACACTGTATATCCTAGAACACTGTATATCCTAGAACACTGAATATCCTAGAACACTGTATATTCTAGAACACTGTATATTCTAGAACATTGTATATCCTAGAACACTGTATATTCTAGAACACTGTATATCCTAGAACACTGTATATGCTAGAACACTGTATATTCTAGAACACTGTTATTCTAGAACACTGTATATTCTAGAACACTGTATTTCTAGAACACTGTATATTCTAGAACACTGTATATTCTAGAACACTGTATAGCCTAGAACACTGTATATTCTAGAACACTGTATATTCTAGAACACTGTATATCTAGAACACTGTATATTCTAGAACACTGTATATCCTAGAACACTGTATATTCTAGAACACTGTATATTCTAGAACACTGAATATCCTAGAACACTGTATATTCTAGAACACTGTATATCCTAGAACACTGAATATC